TATAATAAACGAGAACACAGATAGGAATAACCAAATGTATTAGTGTACTGTTACAACTTTTCAATATTTTCCAAAATTCCCGTTGCCAATCGTTATAACTTTTGAATTGAATGCTACTTGTTATATCTGGTCGTCGATGATTGTTATGTCGGAAATGCTTATCATTTATACTCGGAACGTGGAACCTCTGCAATTCCCACGACGCGAAAGTAAAAATACAAAGGCTGGTATATGTGAAGATTTATTAATCCCCAAAACACAACAACGACGACGACAACTCTAGTTGAAAATACACTTATTTATATATTGATTGTATACCCATTTTGATTATTAATTAAGATGAAATCACATACTCAGTTATAACAAATCACTTACTGAGCCTAGTTCATGTCAATGGAATATAAGAATATCCTTTATTATACAGAAGAGAATATCATACTGAGATAACAGTAACAAATACTCCATTGAGTAATCATTCCATTGAATCAAAATGGAATTAATCTTGAATAAAACTCATAATCGATAAATCAATCGAATTTGGACTTTTCTTTCCATCATCTCAGTACAAAATTACAGAATGTTATAGTAAAATCTGTGACTCAGTAGCCAATTGGATAACGCTATGACGTTTGAAGTGAATGTTACTGGGTTCGAGTTCTGGAGTGAAGATCAACTCTGGGATGTAGGTACATCTAGCTAAGAAGTCCCAAATAGGACAAAGTAACTATTGTCCTGGATTCCATTGTTAGCCATGTTTAAATCTGAGAACCATACAATATATAACTCATTTGTAAAATGTCCGTCAACTTTCTCTAAATTTGTTGTTCCCTCATTTCTATACCAATTGCTCACTGCTCTTGTCCTCTTTTCGATTTTCTCAACTTTCTACCTACAAGCACTTTACTTTCGATCGGTGATACATACTACTTATATTTGTCGGTACCAGTAGCACATACCAGTTTCAGTAAAGTGAAACTATAGTGTGTAAAGTTAGGAAACATTGTGCGTGAACATAGAAATTAAGGCTTTCGAATGGAAAACAACGAAAGAATTATAAATGAGAGAAACATTTCTCAAGGTTTGAAACATTCAGAAATCATTTTGGCTAAAAAAATCTCCCACAAGGAACACTTAAATAGATGTTATGAAATGATTCCATTCGTCTGTTTGTACAAAAAGCCATAGGTAGTGAATTTTACTCTTCTGAATTATCATAGACAATGCAGGACAAACTTTACTGTGAACATGCTACAGGTATTCGGAATTTGACAACTCTTTAACCAGTAACATCTAATATGAATCGTACCCACCAAGTGAAATCAAAAGTTAAAAGCGAGCAGGTTCGAAGATATATCTGATAGGCTGTCAATATATCGAGGATCGTCTGATCTAATTTGGCTAGCAATTGCAGGAGAAGTTGAGCACGGCGTTCCCACTCATGATCTGGTGCGGATGAATGACCGAGCGCCTTCAGCTAGGTGAGTCCATTAAAACGAATGTGGTCAGCATCCAATATCGAAGGCTTACAAACAGAGTTATTTATTTTGGAGATTTATTTACAGCTAAAATTGCATCACCATACCATTTGTAGAGATTTGATTACAAATGGTATTGTATTTAAAATGTAAGAGAGAAGAATGTTCATCTTGTGAGTTTGACAATTTGATTGTGAATACTTCATTGTCCTTCTGGACAACATCATCAGGAACATATATTTAAGAATGTGGTGAGTTAGTTACATTCTTGTGCAAGTGATTAATAGCTTAATCTATTGACATCTAATCTGATTGATTATTGTGCATAAATCCAATACTAATATCCACACGCCTACTTTGATTTTCGTCTTCCCTTCTTGATCTGTTCTCTGTTTAACATTTTGAATACTGACTGATAGATTCAATCTACTGGGATATGCCTGTGGATAGCTAAATGAACTCGGTTTCGGATTTCTAACTATCCTCTGATTTTATTTGTATTGTCTCTGTCGAATATTTTGACGATTTATAAGTCTGACTCATACGAACAGTTATCCACAAACATTGATATAAACAAACATATTTGAACAACCACCTTGTTTTTACTTGTATGAATATGAAGAGAGCAGCCTATGATCTCATATAGTATTGACCATATCTGTCTCAGCTTACGTAGTAGATTACATGTAGTTTGTATTCCTTTGTCATCACGTCGTAAAGATTATATGCACTACATCTATTCTTAAATGAAGTAATAATCTGATATCCATTGATGAGGAGTCATGAATTAACGGGAAACTTGTATCGAGTGTTACTTGTCACTCGACAGTTATCGACTTGTGATTATTTTGTAGCGGTCAATAAATCTCCAAAATAAATAGCTCTGTACGTTTTCGACATTGGATGCTGACCACATTCGTTTTAATGGACTCATCTAGCTGAAGGCGCTCGGTCATTCATCCGCACCAGATCATGAGTGGGAACGCCGTGCTCAACTTCTCCTGCAATTGCTAGCCAAATTAGATCAGACGATCCTCGATATATTGACAGCCTATCAGATATATCTTCGAACCTGCTCGCTTTTAACTTTTGATTTCACTTGGTGGGTACGATTCATATTAGATGTTACTGGTTAAAGAGTTGTCAAACTCCGAATACCTATGGCATCTTCAATTTCATGATCGCATCTAGTTTGAAAATATTGAAGAAGTTTTTTAACTTATCAAATACAATCTTTCTATAATACTCTGAATAGCCTCTAATGGATTGAAGACAAATTAAAATTCACTAGTCATTCTTGGACATTTAAAGTGAAGTTTATGTTTCATGTATTATAAGAAAAGCGTTCATTGTTTTTAGAATATTGACTTCTTAATAGAGAATTAAATACAGTGTAATTAACTATTCCAAACTGTCAAACCAGAATTAGTGAACAAGCAATAATACAGCAATCCATTTATTCAACAGTTATAGCAAGTTTTATTCACTGATACAACAATACTGGCATGATGACTATTACAACTGTTTTCATTGAATATTTTCACTGACTGTGGATTCCGACCACGAACTACAGATCCCAAATGATACAACTGCGAATGGGTTACAATATGTTTATACTGGCGCCAGAAAACGGAATGTTGACATAACCTAACAAGATAAATGGTTCAACACAGCGTTTCCAAAACTGATTCACGAATAACTTAAGGAATTCGTGGTGAAAATTGCTTTCCAAGCTATACCATATCAAAAAAGCATTCTAAAATATATTGTGTTATTGACAAATGTAGTGTTCATAGTTATTACAAAACGTTTCCAACCTGTAAGTTTAAATATAATAGAAATCAGATGATGAAGAAAAAAATATCTGGACTGATAAGAAAAACAGTGACCGTTATGACTTTGAATAACTTATCATGCTACTGATATGAATGACTGGTACTGAATAAGCACTATAGTTGGGCTATAAACTTGTTTGGCTATATCAATTTTCATAGCATTCCTCAGTTTCTGTCATGCGAAGAGACGTTGATAAAATTCTCTAAATAGCCTCTAGTAATCAATATGATATAGAACGTCTAATGGGAATCAGTGTATGTTGGTAATGACAGAGCACGCCACATGTAGGCTGTACGCGGTTGTGATTCCGGGCCAAAGCGGAAGAACAGTGACGTATGCAGTAATTCTCCGTATTGTAGCGGACCATGGTGTACCGGTAATTATAATAAAGCAAATTCATTCCAGTTATCATAACGGTTATATGAAGACTATTAATTTTTGGTCTGAGCCTAGCAGATAGATCTCGATTACTTAATTGTGGTACACGAATAAACCTCTCTCAATGGTTAGAGATAACGTGTGACATGTCTCTAAATCGATCATAACGGTGAGGTGGCATATACTACTCTTTATCCACCTCTCGATCCTCAATTCCAGTATTCCTTCACACGTACCTTTCCCCTCATTTTTCTCAGAACATATTCTCAAAGTTCAGTATTTCTCATTACCATTGCAACTACATCATTTCGATTCTCTTGCCCATCACCTTTTCTTGTTAAAGCAGTATGACAACTTGAGTCAACACACACTCGTGCTAGACTATGAATGAATAAAAAGTTTGTTCAAAGTCGACAATCCTACCAAATGCAACTTTACTGTTCCAGTGTACTCTCGTTCATGTGGATCTCAAATAAAACAGGACATTTCTTCCTATACAGTTGTGTTTATCTGATAATCACTATGAGCAACTTAAACATAATATGAACAAAAATGATAAAATATACTACTCTACAATTTAAACGGATCATTATCTGAAAGGTCAGATCTACATTCCAGCTATTGATGGATATTTTCATTCATTACTCTCCTGCCGATCGTATATTGATTCCTACTACTTATTATTATTAAGTAGGTAGTCCCATTTCTGGCAATTTATAATGTAGCTTTCATTTACCGTTGCGTTACATCGCCAAGTATTTACATGAACTAATAACAATTGATGCATAATTCATTATAACTACTTTCTCTTAACCCTTATAAGAATTATTTCTAGTTTCTTGAAAAAAATTTTCTCTTGTATCTTTGGTTAAACGTGAAAACTCCCTTTATTTGTATGGCTCTTAGTTTCCAATGCTGGTGTAACATCAATCGGTTAATGATCTTAATCAAAATCTTAGTTTGCACGTACTTTGATTGTTGATAAATTTTCGTTAATATTAGACATAGTTACTGGTGATCATTTTCGGTATCGTATGTCATATCACTTTTTATGTAGTTACTACAAGGAGCCTTTCTCTTTCCAAACATATAGACGCATTAATCGCCATAGATACTTCACAAGTTGAGATTTTTAACCAACTGATATATGTTCGTTAGTGATTAAACCATTCTCTACATATCATTTTAAAGCCTGTTTCATGTGTATTTCAACTGTGTAGTTGAATGTTTTAATAGAATTAACAGACGTAAATAACTAACAAGTAACTAAAAAAATGATAATCTATGAATTTTTTATATTTTAGAGAATAATCAATCTTCAATACGAACGTCAACACAGTTCTACTGCGCGGAGCTGAGACTTAGAGAACCACACCAACCATCATCAAGAAGGTACAAGTAGTTATAAACAGTTGTCTACGCAAGATACTCAATATCCGTTCGCCGAATACCATCAACAACAGCCTACTGTGGCAAAGAAAAAACCAGCTTGCGGTTGAAGAGGAAATTAGGAAAAGACGATGAAACTAGATAGGACATACACTGAGGGAATCATCAAACTGCATCACGAGGCAAGTCGTAATTGGGAATCCTGAAGCGAAGCAGAAAAGACGAAGGCCAAAGAACACATTACATCGGGAAATGGAAGCAGATATGAAAAGGATGAATAACAACTGGAAAGGATTGCCCAGGACAGTCAGTCAGTCAGCTACAACGTAGGACCAGGCACATATGTGCATCGGTCCAGGTTGCCATACCGCATCAGCACACAAGATGAACACTGGATTCATAGCAGTGGTTAGGTCAAAGGTAGTAATATATAAGAGAAAGATTGCATATAGAGATATAGTACAAGAAGAAAAAATTGGTTCGTAGAAAAAAAGGGATGAAGCGATTTTAATCTCCTAGTTTAAGGGAAGATAGGGAGTGTATACACTGACGCCATTGTGATCGATTCTGAGCCATGTCACCAACACTCTCCAACCATTAGTTACGATAGTCACGCGGACCCCAATCAAGTAGTCTGCATCTACCAACAACATGGCTCAGACTACAAGTTAGTGACTTCAAACACTGATGCCACGTTTTGGTTTGGCCGCCCCTAACTTTCTTCCAACCATCCCGAACACCGGTTAGCATTGCACGTCGTGGTAATCGGTGTTCGGGCATACGTAACACGTGGCCCCAACCATCTCAGTCGATGAAGATTCACAACCTCATCGACTGATTTACCATCATTCCCTAATACCCTGCGTCTAACCTCACTGTTACTTACCCGGTGATCCCAGCAGATGCCAGCAATATTTCTAAGGCATCTGTGGTCAAATACTAATAGCTTACGAGTGTCTTCTACTCTTAATGGCCATGTTTCGCTGCCGTAAATTAAAACAGAACGGACTGCCGTGCAGTATACTCGTCCTTTTATTGATAGACGGATATCTCGCCTTCGCCACAGGTGACGAAGGACAAGGTTGAATGGAAGGTGCTGGTGGGTGGTCTATGCTACTCCACGAGGAGTAACAGGCGTAAGCAAGTAAGTAACCGAGACTAGTCAACTGAATGTAAATTCACATATGAAATCAACTTCACTTATCTCTGTTACATTGTAGTATAAAACCAATTACAGATCAAGTGTAAAAGAGCACATTCAATGTTAATAATAGCACAAAATGAAATTTATTTAATAAAGAGATGAAAATATCTTAAAAATAGAAAAATATTAAACAGTAATTATAATGAAAATTGAATTTATATTGAATAGAATCACAAATAGTAACATGGATAAGAGATGTTACAAATCCAAATTTATAATAATGGCAAGATTTGTAGTAATCCATAAACACACACACATACATACATACATACACACATATAGAATGATAATCATCCAATCATCAATAACTATGATGATAGTGAAACTAATACTTATCAACACAGAATTTCCCGTCTAGAGAACAATCCTTGGATATTGGACAATAAGTATTCATACTAGATTCACAACATATGGACTGAAAAAAAATGGAACGAAAAAAATGTCGAAGACAATTTGAAGATAACAACATAGAACAACAATTATCTTATTAGTTGAATTCATGAGTCAATCTAAGCTAAACCTGGAAGCATCGAAAGTGCTCTCTTAAGTGCGTCCAGATCTTCACTGGTGATCTATCTTAGATTGACTCATCAATTCAACTATTAAAAATTAATACAATCTCCACAAATCCCCATTCTAACAACAATGATCAATTAGTTATCCCAATGCTATTTATATGAAAATATATGTGTAACAATAAATAAACACATGAACAAGTAACACAATATTGAATTTTAAACATACTTAAATTCATAGTAATTTATTCAACATATCTGTTTTGATAACTTTAACACGGTCTGTAATCAGTCCCAATTATTTATTTAAAGAGATAAACATTGGTACAAGGAGGTACCGAATGTATATGCGCCACATGAATCATTCGATTTGTGTAAGACATGAAATATTGCTCGGATGCCCAAAACGAAGAAAATGATTTCCTTAGGGGGCAATATTCCTCGAGCCTTTCACCCAGAGGTCTAATCCAAAAGACAGTGGAGCAAAGTCAAGAGATCCAATCCTATGGTAGCCGGTGACATCAGGATTCTGGAGCCCATGTTCATCATTAGTTTAAAATCAGGGTTTTGCAACTTCCCTAAATGAACGCTTCATATCTACCAACCCGATTAAAGTGCCGTACATCCACCCCCAAATACCCTAGTACGGCCGACGGTGGGGAAAATCCGCTCTCCCTCTCAAAATTCTCCCATATGGTCACTGCTTTCTCACACCGTTGGTGTCGCTTACCAAATTGAGAGGATGAATAGCGAATGTATATAATCAAACTTAATTTCACAAATCACTCTAGATACTTAAAGTCATAGTAATTTATTTCGTTAGCTAAAAACTTTTCACTGTGCAACATAACAATAATTAATGAAAATTACAATTATAATTGATTTGGAATAAAAATACAAAAAAGGAACATACCTCATTCGGTGTGCAAGTATAACCAAATTTATTCGAAAGACAACATTGTTCAGATTTACCACAATAGTGTAATGAATCAGGACAAATTGTATGCAATTGTCGTTTAAGACGTCGATAATGACGAACACTAATATGTATTTATTGAGAAAAGAAAAGTAATTAGAAATATTGCAATTTTATAATATAACCACCCCCCAAGTACCGATAAAGGTTTTTGTAATAAAATCCAAGGTAAATTGTATAAAAGCTATAGAGAATATTTGGAACCTGTTCATTTTGTAGGTCATCTCAAACTAAGACGATGCCAGTTAATTTTTTCAATGATTAATCGCAATCATATGTAATACAGAACCTGATATATATGTGCATCGATTCAATCTACCATATTACATAAGCACAGTGAGAAGGGATTATTTTAAGGCAAATTCCAGAGTAGTAGAAGTAGTAATAGTATCCGAAGTAATAAAAAAAATGTGTATACAAAACGACATAAAGGCTTAATGAGATTTAGGCAGTTAGGTTCAAGAGGCAGATCAGAAGTGAATGCATCTGTGCTATCATAAACGGTTTTGACCTGTATAACCTGGAGTCTCCAAAAATCGGTTACCATAATCACGCAGATACCGATCAGGTAGTCTACATCCATTAACATGGACTCAGTTCGATTCTCAATGACTTCATAGATCGGTGCGATATTTTATTTTCGGCGCCCTTAGATTTTATCCAGTCTATCCCTATATCAGACAACAACGCCCGTCGAGGTAGGCAGTGATTGGGCTTACGTAACACATGTTCCAACCACCTCAGTTGATGAGGATTTACTACTTCATCAATTGAATTGTCATCCTTACCTAGTATCCTAAACCTAACCTCAGTAATGCCCACTAAGAGATCTCAAAATACAAAAGCGATGCTTCGAAGACACTTCTGATCGAATACTACTAACCTACGAATATTCTCCTATCCTGATGGCACACATGGTTAAGTTTGTCATACATTGTTCCTACTCGCTCCCTTTCCACTCCTTAGTATATTGTTTTATAATATTTATTTACATTCAGTAAGCAGTTGTATTCTCAACAATGTTTAAACTTATGTTGTAACGCAAGTTGAAGTGTAATATTCTGAAATGTTCACACATACTTAAAACGTTTATTGTACTTATCATTTTATTTATCATTATAATTACTGTACCTTAACCACTGCAGTGGTTATCCACAGTTTCGTACATTTGTTTAAACGCAACAGTTTCCATATTGTTTGCTCTTGGTTCGGGTTTCGGTTGTTCATAAACTGTTGTCAAACATAGACACAGCTATCAGCTGTCCCCTGTACTATCGTATATTATAATTACTCTTTATGTCATTGTTACAGGAAGCCTTGTTTGTTTTCATACTTGAAGGACGCGTTTAAACGCCCCAGACATCTCACAAGTTGAGGTTTGTAACTAAATTTTGTGTATTATTCATGAACGTCCAAAATCTTAGAGGACTTCCGTCGAATTTCATGATCTCTATCTTCGGTAGGCTTGCCGTCATGAATAGTGACTTAATGTTATCTACGTGTGCTTTAAGTTCCAACTCATCGCTCATAGCTGTTTTGGTATGTCGGTGACCAGCTGTAGCTGCGGGAGTTATGTCTTCGGATCCACACCAATTAGGACCAAAGTTGAGAACTGTTAAGTCTATCGAAGCGTCCAAGTTACCCGGTTGAGATACGCGCAAAACCGAAGTTTCCAAAACAACGATTTGTCTACAATAGCGGTTCTTTATTGAATAATACACAAAATTTAGTTACAAACCTCAATATACAAAGGAGTGGAAAGGGAGCGAGTAGGAACAATGTATGACAAATTTAACATACATAAAGTAGAATGAAGTGAACTAATGTATAGTAAACTCATCCTTCAGTTGGCAGACAGATATCTCGCCTACACTACAAGTGATACTAGTTGGAAAATACTAATCTAGATTTTCTTCATCAGACATCAGCTCACCAGGACTGATGAAACTGAAGCAATCAATGTACTTAACTTGCGCTAATGCAGGACAGTTTTAGAGCAAGATTTTTCATTTGAAGTGAAAGAATCATCCCAAACGCGAAAATGATCCGACAGTGATGATTAAAACTATAAACCTATCATTAGTGTAAAGGACGGAAATAATATTGATAGATTTTTTTCACGGTTGCGCTATGTTTCCTCAATGGATATCTAGGTAAATGGAACTAATTTAATTTAATGCACTAATAGGTAAGCAATGATAGAATATGTTGCACACGAGCAGATAGTATTTCCGGGACGAGGGGGGTTAGGGAGGAGAGTTAAACTTGCAGAACTATTCCATGCAAAAACTTACACATATTTTTATTAAATAATCACTAAGTACTTGGATTATCTCCTTCTTATATCCTACTTAATTATAAACTTCCATTTGACGTGAAAACCTTTGCTACATAATTCAGTGTTAATAAATTATTCTTAGTTAACTATAAACTGATTATTCAATTTAGTATCATTTACAAATAAGCTATGTACAAATTCAGTCAGTCAGTCAACCAGTGGTACACAACGTAGAATCTGGTACATGTGTATACATAGATTCGATTTGTCACACTTTATGAGCATAACCAGACCGAATTGTCAGGGCAAATCCCAATATAATAGAAGGTAGTAACGGTATTAGTGGTAATAGAAAAGATTATAGATTGAAGATACGACTTAAGAACAAAATATGGTTTATGTGGATAAGAAAAACATTTATAAGGCAATTTAGAGTGTGGAATTAAGGGAAGAGAAAGAGTGAATGCACTTGCACCATTGCAAATGATTCTAACCCTTCATTTTATCTAAAGTTTTCAACCGTTTTGTTATAATAAGCACGCGAACCTCAGTCGGGCAATCTCGAACTACCACTATATGACTCAGTCCAACAGATAGTGTTTTCATGGATTGATCCCTCATTTTTGGTTCCTTATTTGTAATACTTCATGGCCAGGAAATTCTTGTATATAATTCCTTGAGTTTTTGAATGGAGACCAATAGGAACTAATAGACGATTTAATCTGTTTCCTAACATCCCGAACGTTGCTGCTACCTTGATGTGATGGTCGAGCTTGCTTATCATGATGAACTAATCGAGTTCTACTGGCTGGAACAATGATTCCACAAGGTCCTGCAATACCAGACAGGTCGGTTGAAGAGCGGTAAGACTAAAAGCAGCAAACTCAAAGTTCGAAGGCGAAGTCATACTAGTGACTGTACACAGGTGTGACGGCAGTAAGATGTTCCCTTCAGACAACCAGTATAACGATGCTGCCTCCCCACAAGGTGGGGTGGGATTAAAAAAAGTCGATCCTAAAATGAACACCACTCTATTCCACGGATATCGGTCTCCGACGGTAAGGTTTCAACAATACGGAGCTACCACGAAAATTACTCACAGAAAGGTCGTGTGTGACCGACCTCAAGCAGCTATCCCTTGGGCATTGTGGTCACGCTCTCAGATGACTAAGACCAACTCTAACTGAATTTCCTTTTCAGTTACCTCTAGAAAGACTATTCCACTGTGTGGGCAACCGGGAAGTAAAAACCACTCTCATACCTGTGACAACACTCAAAATCACTGCATTCATAATCGATCTCCCTCTTCAGTTCCTATTATACCTCCTACGTCGACTTTCAACTCCAAACTTCCTCTTTTGGTTTCCTCCTCAAGTGTAACCATGACCAATGATTCTAGTGAGCGAAACACTGTCCTAGGTCTACTGAAAACTCGCTCTTAACATCGTTTTCTGGTTGGACACTAGGGTAAGGAGTTTTTAAACTATAAAATGTGAAACTATTCTTGTGTTGATTAAGTCATTGAGTTATTTGGTAAAATAAACATAGTATCGTCGGTCAACCATAAAATCATTGATCAAATGACCTTAAAGTGAACAAGTCAATAAACAGGCTCTATAATCAACTTCCAATATCATCAGACACAGACCACGAGAAAAACCATTTTAAACGTACAAAAAAGGGAAAGAAAATCTACTTACAGAAGAAGGATATTTCTTTGAGCAGGTTTAGCACTGTTGGACATTTCTATCTGGAAGTTTTCTTTCTCATTATTTTGTTTAATGAAATGTGGTCTTTGTACATTGTTATTCATTGAAATAGATGGTATTAAAGCAGATGCTGATGATTTGAAGATATTCTTTTGGATCTTTTCACATTTCCCATTATTTAAACAACGTGATCCAGGAGGACAACAAGTATTTTGTCCAATACAGCATTCTCCCTAAATTAACAATAAAATAGAAATTCCTACAGTCTACACAAACCAATTAAGTAGTAAATAATTGAGTTAAAAAAAGTATAACACATTGATAATTTAGATATTTTATAGACAGTGAACTGATATTAATTAATTATTCATCAAAATCCATTAAAGATGAAAATAATTCGGGTTAACGTCTGTGACTGTGAAGCTGGGTGATACGGGATCAAATCTGTCAGGGAGTACCAGTTCCCTCAAGATTATAGGTAAACCATGCTGACGAGTGCCAAACAGCACGAAACCTAGGCCCAGGGTTTCCTGTTGACTACCTCCAACCACCATCTTATCCCAACAGAGTGCACGAAATGTCGAGTCACCTAGACTAGTGGCTGTATTGCAACTTGGTCGATAGCATAAACTAACCTTGAAGTAAAGCTTTTATTCGCAATTCGCGTCTTCTCTCCCTAGTATTCCAGTTGATGTGTAGAAGTAATTTTAAGTTATCGGAACTAACTAGGAAGACAGTTTAAGCATTTCGGTAGCAAGACCTATCAATATAATATAATAATCCAATTAAAATTATCATCGTAACTTACGCCCACATAAGGACAACATGACCATGAAGTAAAAGTAACATCTGGACAACAAGCCCAAGTGTCACCACATGCTCCACACCATTTTGCTTGTACATAAGTATCAATAGTACTAATAGATTTTACTGGTTGTGAATATAAACTATTTGATAACTTTTGATTAGCTTTGTGCATAGTAAACCCATCAAAAACTATTTTTGTGGTAGATTGATTGTATTCAATTTGTAAAATGCACTGTTTTGTATCCAAATCACAAATTGAACCAGCTGGACAACAGTGAAGATGATCACCACAACAAACACCCTGAAGTAAAAAAGGAACACAGAATAATATTTTTTTTTATAAAAGATTCAAGACGAATATCAACTGAGATCATGTTAAGTGAAAACTTCAAGAAAATCATATTTATGTTTATATGGAATTTTAGATCGTTACGTATTTAGGAATGTCTATTGTACTCAATTGACTTGAGAACAAATCTAGACTTACATAATTGAAAATCCAGAATCTGTTAACTTAGTTCAATCAGACACCTATCACTACACACTAACTATGGCTAAAGGAACTAATTAATATTGTTAAGAAAATGATTGAATTCTACAAAATAACCTGCTATATTATTCTACTGTCTAATAGTCGTTAAACATACTCCATACTTCACTTGACTCTTCCCAAATCAGAACAAGAACAGAAGGGAAGGAGAACAATGTGTATTCGAACCAGTCAAAAAAAAACCCCACAAAGATACAAATTATTAAAAACACCAAAGTAGCTGAAAGTTAAAAGAATTAAAAACTAAGCAACCGTTGCATAATAACAAGAGATATAGGTCTTCAAGGGTTCCTTGTGAACTACCTCCAACCATCAAACAGAACTGGTTGTACAAAATAGGTAATAATAATTAAATCATACATGTTCATTCAAATAAACTAAACATTTGATGATTTTAATTGTAACGACATACTTCAGTTGAATCTAGGAAGTTATTTGATAATTTTATTTCAAGAACATTGAAATGATCTGGTTAGGAAGGGATTAGAGTAAACTTACGATTGCTTAATACAAGTATGAAATTAGAAACATGT